CCGGCAGGTGGGGAGGCGGAGCGCCCGCCCGGAGAGGGGCCTCCGCGGGGCAGGCGCGGAAAGCTGTGAACAGGCCGGGCGAGCCCCCTGTACTAATGCAATAAACACTATCGGCTGAAGCTGGAACGGCCCCGGCACATTCGCTGGCCCCGGGTCTCGCTGTGTGGCCTTGGGCACCTTCCTAGCAGTCTCAGGACCTCAGTTTCTAAGCGTGCGTGCTGAGGAGGCAAGGTGGTTACCAGGCGACTGAGTGGGTCATATGGGGCCTGTGGAGATACACGCACAATAGATCCTAAATGATATCATTTCTGGGCTAAGTGCTATGAAGAAAGTAAAATTGGGTGATGTGGAAAAGCATGTGAGCAGAAGGCCTCACTAAGGGGGTGACACTTGAGCTAAATGACAAGGAACCAGTCATGGGAGTATCTGGGGACAGAACATTCCAGGAGGAAAGGGCCAGTGCAAAGGCCTGAGGTGGGCACAAGCTTGCTGTCAGAAAGGTCGAGGCTAGTGTAATATAGTGGGGTGACGGGTGTGGGATGTTTTAGGCAGAGCCCCACTGTACTGCTTTGTCCCAATTGGGAAGGAGTGACACAGGGACCTAACAGCAGAGGGTGGCCCTAAGCTGGACCACTTTCTCCGTCCGAGGGTGTGGTGCCCTGCGTCCCCACTCAACCTCGTGTGACCTGTGTGCTCTTGTGAAAAGGAGGGTCAACTGCATTGTGCCAAGTGCTCCAAACATGTGTTTCCAATCTCGTGTGTACTACGGCAGGGAGGAACCAGTTATTCCCACTTACGGATGAGAAAACAGGCCAGACGGGGCAGTCCTTTACACAAGGCTGTGGGCTCAGTAACAGAAGTACCAGTCTTCAAGCTGGGTCCTCCCACTGACCAGCATGGGTGCCTGCATGTATGGGATATCTGCCCCCCTTTTAGGGTTCTCTGAGCCCTTGTGGCACTGGGCTCCGGTTGTCCATCATCCTCAGTCCGATGCCAGCAGGCCACACAGTGGTGGGTGCTTATTCCACATTTGCTTGGAGAGACCATCTGGCTGTGGGCAGGGGTCTTGGGGGTGGAGAAGTGGAGATGCACAGGGCCCCCTTGCATGTCCTGGCTGCCACGTGGGTATTGCTGGAGGTGTGCCTGCGGCAGCTTGTCTGAAGACACCAAGGCTCCAGGCTTGTGTATATATGGGAGTGGCAGGGTTCCCCAGGAGAGCCCCTAGGCACATGCACTAGTGGTGGTGTGCCCTTGTCCGGGCTCCATCACCAGGTCAATAGTCCATACTGGCCCATGTGGGTCACTCTGCCCCTCCCCCTCTAAATATAGCCCAGTGGGCTGAGCTCAGGCCTATTTTAGGCCCAGGCTGGGAGGCAGCCAGGCCTTCCCCAGGTTCTCAGAGGAGCTACTGCTGCCTCCATCCTGTCCTGCTACTGGGTGCTGACATCGGGGCCCCTGACTGCCCACAAAATCATGCCTGAGGAGACCCAAGAAGGTAGGAGATGTTGGAGGGAGGGCAAGGACCCAGAATTATGAGCCTGTGGACCAGGGAGAAACCTGCCCTGTCCCACTGACCTCACTTCTTTAGTTACTCGTCAGTCACCATGTCCCAGCTCAAATAATGGGACCTGCACCCTGTACACAGAGGAAGGCCCACCATGCCTTGAACCTCTCACCTCAGGCCCTGCCCTATTCCCATGCTAGGGACAACAGGGAGTGATTGGGGGAGCCACCCAGTCATGGGAGGGTTAACCATAGGCTGTGGCCAAGTGGGTGTGGGTGGGGCAGCTGCCTGGCCAGTTCAGCTCTTCCTTCAGGGAAGAAGTTGGGATTGGGGGTGGGCAGTGGTTGCAGGGAGCATTTGGGCACAAGGCCCAGGAAGTAAATAGGCTTCTGACTTTTTCCACTTTGGGCCTAAATGGCCCCAAGTGGCTAGATTGGGGTCCCTTGGTGGGTCTGACTGTTAAGACTTTGATGACCATTCATCTAACTGCTCCACTACATGCAAGAAGTATGGAGACTCAGAGGGGCCAGAGCAGGGACCCAAGAAGCTTCAGGTCCAGCTGCTGGCCAGGATGCAGGACTAGTTGCTCCTTGCCTCCAGCCTGGCTCAGCTAGTGCACTCCCCCATCACATTTTCAAAATTTTAGGGGGGGTCAAATATATGGCGATGGATGATGATTTGACTTTGGGTGATGGGTATACAATGCAATATACAGATCATGTATCATAGAAATGTGCACTTGAAACATGTAATCGTCTTAACCAATGTCACCCCAATAGATTTAATTCAAAAAAAATTTTTTTTACACTGGATGGGAGTGACCCAGCTCATTGTTGTGCGGTGGGGGGGAAAGTTACCTCCTTTTGGGGTCTTAACAATGAGATTTACTATGTGTTTTTCCTGGTAGCAAACAGATCTGAGTTCAATTTAGAAAGTGTGGGAAAAGTACAGCCAAGTGCAAAGGAGTTTAATATGACCCGCAACACACCACCCAGACAGAACACTAGCAGCACCTATTTTTGTTTCACTTTTGAGCACGTCACAGGTCAGTTTTAGGCAAATCATGAAGGTTGAGTTACTGTTCAGAAAGTGATAAACCCAGAGAGCCCACTCACCCTGGCCCCTATCAAGAGATGACCCTTCAGTGCCCCCCAATGTGTGATCTAGCTTCCAGCTGGGTATCTGGGGGTCTTAAGGGGCTAAGATTTTTTTTTAAAAATCAAGACAAAGAACAACCAAAAGAAAATACGACTTTTAGAAATCACAAAATTACTATTTCGATCGATCAAAAAATAATTAAAATTCAGGAAAAGTACACAGATCCCAGTGACTAACTGGGCAGAGGCTGGGAGTGGGTACTTAGGAAGCCACATACATATCAGGCCCCCAAGCAGAGACCCAACCAAATGGGTCAAAAAAGGCCTTTTTTCATCTCTCAGCAAATACGTGTACACATGTACATATAAATTTTTTTTCACTGGAGATGCCTAAGAGTGGAGGTGGTGTACCCTTCTGGGGGCTGTGGGCAGCCGTTCTGGACCATTTGAAGAGTTTTAAAAAGTCCCTGCTTTTGGATCCATTAACTCTGCTTCTCAGAATCTGTCCTGATTAACTATCAGGAAACTGAGAGAAGTCTCCGTCCTCAATATATGTCTTTTTCTAGGGGTTGTTAATTTCCAAGGGGGAAATGGAACAACCTAAATGCCCAGGCAGCCTCAGAGGGACGCCTGAAGGAAGACCTCAGAGGGCCGAGAAACAGTCTGGTAACACAGGCAGGTCTCCCACTGTGATTCTAAGTGAAAACAGCAGGGCTCGAAGCAGTACAGCGGAATCACACTGAGTACATTTGAGAACACAGCCAAGGCCAGGAGGGAAAGGCGCCGCTGGCTAGCATGGCGCTGCTTCTGCTGGGGACCAGGTCACCAGGCTCTGGCCTGATGGGGAACTCCCAGGGCCTGCAAGGAAAACTGAGAGCAGAAGAGGCAGGAATGAACTTCATGCGCTGTGGGATTATTCCTCCAAGGCTGACAAACTCCTCTCTAGAAATGAGCAAGCAGAGGAATACCTGAAAGTCCCTGGAGCGCTTGGAAGGAAACAAAACGTGAGCAAGTGCATCCCCGTTACTGTGGGTGAATCAGGCCTATGGGGTTCTGGGGTCGCCCTGGCTCCAAAATCAAGGATCATTCCTAAGTTGAATTTAGGGGATTGAGAGCCCCATGTCCCTTTGTCCTACCCCATCTTTGCTGAGCACATGCTGCCTCTGAAAGCCACCCAGGAGAAGGGAGTGACCCACTGGTTGAACCAACCCTGCCTATGCTGCCCCAGCAGACACCATGGCACCAATGCCGAGCCCGAGGAACAGGGCATCACTGGCCCCCAACCATGTGCAGGAGGTCCGCCTGCACCGGGTGGAGTCCATCAGCGACCTACACAGCGGAGGTAAGGGGGGCAGGGGACAGGGACTCAAGTATTGGGAAAGGAGAGCGAGCGCATCCACTGTCTTCCTGATGCTCCACCCATTTGCCCCCCAGGCTTGCTGTGCCCCTACCTGGCCGAGGAGGCACAGCCGTGGGATGAGCTGCTGGGCATCTTGCCGCCGTCGCTGTGTGGCCAGCCTGGCTCCGGCCGCGGGGGCTTCCTGCTGCTGCTGGCACTGCTGGTGTTCACCTGCCTGGGGCTTGCCATCCTGGCCGTATACCTGAGCGGTATGGAGGCGCAGAAAGCCAGCAGGAATCAAGGGCAAGGAAGTGGGGCTGGGAGGACCTTCTGTGCAGTTGGAGGGAGCAACTGCAGAGGCCGAGGCAGTGAAGGGTGGGGTGGGTGTTCTCAGCATGCTGAGCTGGATGGGAGTCGTGGGGTGATGCATGGTCCGAGAGCCCCCATTCCTGCCCGCCCGCAGTGCTGCAGAGTGAATCCCTACGCATGATGGCGTACACACTGCAGGCGCAGGAGGAGACACTGCTCAAACTCCGGCTGGCCAGCCTCAGCCAGCTGCGCAGGCTCAACTCCAGTGAGGCGCGAGAACCCAGCTGAGATGCCGCTTGGACCCGGAGTCTGGGTGTGTGTGGGGGGGAATAAAGTGGCCCTTGGCAGGTTTCTCCTCTCCCACTGCTGCTCCACACTACTTCCTTGGTCAGGTTTTTGTAGAAGAACCTGATCTGGCCCCACAGCTGCCTGCCTCTCCTGGCTTCTTCAGCCCTGGCCTAGCCAAGCCTCCTGATGCCAAGGCCCCACTTTGGGTGGCCCAAGGTCAGAGGAAGTGATACCAGCCTCCTGGCTCTTCCTGCAGCCTATCAGCACGCTTTGGCCTCCCTCAGACAGCAGGTTCAGAAGTCTAGAAATAGCTGCCCCCACCCCAGTCACCCAAACTTTGCCAAGCTTCCCAGTGGGGGTCCAGCTCTCAAAAGACAGTCCAAGCTCTGAGTAGGAGGGACATCTGGGGAGAGACTCTTGGAGGGCAAAGGTGAGGTGGAGCTGGGAAGGAGCTGGGCCCAAGCCTGGGGTGGTGAATGGGCAGGGGGGACAGGCAAAAATACCCAGGAGCAGGGCCACAGAAGGCTGAGCATTCAGTTTAATTATCTCTAGTAGTCTTTAAAAATCAGCACACAAATCCATTCCAGGTAGCCTCCCCTCCCCACTTGTGGTGACATTTGTCCAGATGGCATCCCCACCCTCCTCAAGGAAATGGTTCATCCAGGGGAACAAGGCCTGAGAAAGGAAAGAAAGGAAGGGACAGCCCCCCTACTGCCCCACAGCTCCAGACAGGTACACATCTGGCCTGACCTGAGACAGGGTAGGAAAAGGCCGTGAGGCAGAGCACAGGGGCAAAGAGCCAGAATCCCAAGTGGCCTGGCCTCCAGCCCCCCACCCCAATGCCTGTTTTTGGTTTAGTCATTAAAAAAATAAAGCAACAATTTCTGGCAGGGACCAGCTGTTGCGCTGTCTTCTGTTAAAAATATGGGCAAGGGTGTGGACAGCCTCTTCGGGTGGTGCTGCCTCAGAGGATGTCTGCCCGCTTATCCCGCACGCGGCTGCGCGCCTTGGTCCGAGCTTTGAAGGCAGCGGCGTTGTACAGGTGCTGGAGTGGGGCAAAGAGCGATGAGCCGGGGAGCTGGGGAGGGGGAGGCCCAGGGCTTCTCCTTCACCCCAGCAGAGCTCCAGGCAGCGGGAGCAAAGGGAAAACAGAGGTGCCCAAGGATACAAACCTTCTCAAATCGTGAGATCTTGCAGGCCTTCAGGGCGGTGGCATCCAGCACCAGCACGGGGCCCAAGCCGAAGATGTCACGGAGCAGCTCGTTGTTCTGGGGGCAGAGGGAACAGTGAGCTTGGGCCAGTGTGAAGCAGACAAGCTGGGTGCCCCCTCTCTGCCAGCCTCCCCACCTGAAGGTGGTGGTGCATGCCCGACCCCAGCACATCCTTGAAGGCAGCGTAGATTCGGCGCCGAGCCCAGCTGTCCACGTAGAGCACCTCAAGGCCAAAGCGGATTGTCTCTTCCTCACACTCGCCACCCTGCAGGGCAGAGGAACCTGTAAGACTAAGCTTGGTGGCTGTGCCTGGGGACGAGCTATCACTAGGACACACACGTCCTCCCACGCACCTCGACAAAATGCAGCACGGCTCGGAAAATGGAGCGCTGCCGCCGGCGGTCAGCTTTGGCACGGTACTTGTTGCTGTCAGTGGCCAGAGTGCGCAGAGCGTCGCAGAGGGCGTCCATGTCCTCGTAAATCAGGTCCTCCTGCAGCAGGGAGAGGGAGGGCATGTGAGAGGGGCCTGAGCTCTGCTGGCTCTCAACATGGGGTTGCCCAAACCCTGCCTTTCACTGAGGAGTCCTTTTCTTCTCTCCCTGGCCCCCCTGAATCCCTTCTTGGCCCCTGTCTCGACCAGACCACTCTGCTCAGGGACCCCAACACAGCCTCTGGCACCTGAGTCTGTGCTGGGGCTACTTCCACTCTACAATGACCTAAGGCTGCCCTGTATTCTGTGGCATCTCCTGCATCCAGCCTGAGGTGGGCACGTGGTGTCAGCAGGTACCCTCGCCCCTCACACCTCAAGGTCCCTGGCGAGCTCAAAAAGCAGTGCGATGGTCTCGCCAGCAGCAATCCGCAGGTTCACAGTTTCACTGGACAAGAGTTGGAGTAGCCGGGGCAGCTGCCTGGGGAGGGGGCAAGCGGAGCTATGTGTGTGGGCTGGGACCTCTGCACCGCTCCCCTCTCATACCCAGTGGGCAGTCGCCTCTACCTGTTGAGGATGTGGCTGATGTGGGTGCTGGGGCAGATGGTGAGCAGCAATGCCCAGGCTTGCAGAGTAGCACAGAACAGGCCATGCAGGCTGGCAGGGGCTATGGAGCCACCCACACCACAGGACCGGCTAAAAACACCTTCCAAGCAGGTGAGGCAAGAGACCAGGTCCTAGGGCACAGGGAGGCAGGGGAGTGGCTCAGGGGCAGAGCTAGGGCCAAGATGCTCTACTATCTATGCCCAAAGGCCACTTACCTGGACATCAGCGGCAGCCACGTAGCAGCCCAAGCCGAGAGCAGAAGCGCACTGTTGGGAGAACAAAGCCAGGCAACGGTCAGAGAGTGAGCCTTGGTTCCAGCCATGCGGGCTCACCCTCAGAGTAGGGGAGCCTGGAGGCAGGGGGAATCACCTCTCTGCTTAGGGATGGTGTGAGGGAAGGGTGTCGCGGAGCATGGAACACTCACGTGGAGCCGGGCCGAAGGGCTAGCTGTGCCATCACTGAGCACAGAGACCAGGAGGGGCTGCAGGCTGTGGAAGAGCTCCTCACTCTTGGCTCCAGGACCCAGCTGCACGCAGAGTGGGCCTAGCACTGCAGCTGCCAGGGCCTGTTCCTCGCCCTTCCCTGCAGGGATGCTTTCCAGTCAGCCAATGCACAGGGGTCAGGACCCGGCCATTTCAGGCCCCCACACGCCCCACACCCAACCTTTCTTGAGGCATTTTTCCAAGGCATCGGCCAGTGTAAGGCTGCGCTCCAGCAGGAAGTCAGGGAGTAGGCGGGACGCCAGGGCCAGGCGCAAGTTCTCAAGAGCACCTTGCCGGGTCTTGGCACTAGGGGATAGAGAAAGGGTGTCTTGTGGACCAGCCCGACCTGGGTAACATCTGTCATGGGTTGAGCAGGGACATGGGTGTAGGGGCTGGCTGGCAGTCAGGGGTACCTCTTATCTGTGAGGCAGTCCACATACTCCTTCAACTTCTCCTCAAGGTCCTCCTGCTGGCTCTGCTCATCCATGGCATCACCCCCTGCAAGGCCACCTGCTTAGCCCTGCTTCTTGCCCCGGCCCACGGAGCCCCCAATGAGTCCCTACCAAACTCCCATGCACTCTCACCGAAGCTGTCCTCTGCCGTGGTGCTAAGAACGCTGGGGCAATCGCTGGCGGTGCTGCGGGCCTCGCTGGCTGCCTCATCCTCGCTGGAACCCGAGTCGCCTTGGGCCCTGCTCTGAGCACCTGGGGAGGACAGAGCGGGGCACTGGCTTGCCTCCATTGATGTGCGATGGCGGGGTGCTCATCCCGCCTCCTGACACGGGTCAGAATGCTGCCCTGCTCAGAGATGAGAAAGCCAAGGCAGGGCGGGAGGCAAAAAGGGCTGTTGCAAAGAACACTGAGCCAGGAAGCAGGAGAAAGGGAATGAGGTCTACCGGTCGGACAGCATCCGGCACCAGCAGAAGGGGCTGCATAGGCCCCACACAGGCCTGTGGCCCAGTCTGAAGTGGGAGCATACCTAGGCAGATCCTGGGGGAGCTCAGCCACCAGCCTAGATGATGCCCCCAAATGGCTAGAGCAAGATTCAGGGACTTATTAGATTCAGAAAGACCCAGGGTTCAAATCCCAGCTACACAGCTTAACAGGGGTACAACCAGTCCAGGCGCCCAGCCTTCAAAGCCTGTTTCTCTGCAAAAGAGTTGCAAAAGTACTTCCTCTGGGTAAGGCACATGAAGACAGTGACTAAATAAGTTACTAGTCATAGCTCTTCTGTGGACCAACAAGCTCACCAGGTGACCCATCAGCCCTGGGGGCAGAAGCCCAGTCCGTACTGGATGTGGGTGGCTGCCCCAGGCTTCAAGCATATTGTCTTATGAGAGCTACCCTTGGTCCATCCCAGGCCTTCAGCCCTGGGCGGATGAACACAGAAGTTCCTTCTGCCCCTGGGAACTGCAGAAGGTGGAGTGGCCCCTGACTACATGAGCCCCTGAAAATAAGTGAACCCAGGGGAACATCAGGCCCAGCAGAACTGAACGCTGGGGTGTGTGGGTTCTGCTTTGGCCAGGGCAGCAGCCACGGCTGAGCCCTAAATGGGTTCTGGTCGCCAGGCTGGACCTACTTCTCAGGAACTACATGCTCCACGTGCATGCGGTCAAAGTTCAACACCCACACAGGACTCGGGGCATCTCCTCCCTCGCTCCCCTACTGGCCAAAGCAGCCCAGCCTTCCCTCATTAGCTTCACTGTGCCAGGGTCCCTCCAGATGCCAGGCCTTTGCACAGCCTGTTCCCTCCCCAAGGTTCTCTTTTCTGCCCCTTCTCAGGACTCTCCCAGAAGCCCCAACCTTGAGGCTTCCTTGGTTCCTAAGTCTGGGGCTCACACCACTGGTGAACTTTCCCCCCACAACCAGTCCTTCTGGAATATCACGACCCTCTCGGATATCTCCCCACCCCAGCCCCATTTAGGGGGGCGGCCTGGTCTCTGCGGTGCCTAGCAGGCACCTCATCTCTGCAAAGTAAACATATGTGTTTACTACACCAGGACACCCTTCTGGTCGACGCTGATAAGCGTCTCCGGGCTGCCGCGGGCTCGAGGGCGCCCACCCACGGTCTGGGCCAGGTCTTCCGAGGCCTAAATCCTGGAACTTCCCTATCGCCCCCTCCCTCAGTTCTCCCCCAGGCTCCCACCAACTTCCTAGTCCAGCTCAATACAGGACCAGGGGCTGGGGAGGGGACGAGCTTTCTACTCTGTCCTGCAGCCTGGCCGACACAGCAGGCAACTAGAGCTTAGGAGCGATGGGTGAGCCGAGACCGGGGGGTGGGGGGTGCCGACCGCGTCAGG